TCTCAGCCTCCCAAGTAGCTGGGATCATAGGCACCTGTCACAACACTCAGCTATTTTTAGAGACGAGGTCTTGCTCTGGCTCAGGCTGGTCTCAAATCTGTGAGCTCAGGCAATCCACTCACCTTGGCCTGCCAGAGTGCTAGGATTACAGGAGCCACAGAGCCTGGACTAATCTCTTTAAGTTTTAAAACAGTGATGATGGGGTGGCTCATGCCTATTTTCCTAGCACTCTTCCTAGGGAGAGTCAAGGAGGAGGAACATTTGCACTCAGAAGTTTGAGACCAGGCCTGAGCAAGACCAGGCATTGTGGCTAATTTTTCTAGTTCTCTGTCTCAAGAAAAAAAAAAGTGGAAGCAGGATAGACAGTGAACTCTGCTGCCAATGTGTGGCCACTGTGATCCATGACATTCGAGTGTATTAAACATTTTTGAAGAAATAATGGTTGTTTTTTATTTTGTTTTGTGACAGAGTCTCACTTTGTCACCCTCAATAGAGTACTATGGCATCACAGCTCACAGCAACCTCAAACTCTTTGTCTCAAGTGATCTTCCTGCATCAGCTTCTGGAGTAGCTGGGACTATAAGTGCTTGCCACAAAGCCTGACTATTTTTTAGAGACAGATTTCACTCTTGCTCAGGCTGATCTCGAACTCCTAAGCTCAAACAATCTGCCTGCCCCACCCTCCCTCAAGTCCTAGGCTTACAGGCCTGAGCTACCCAGCCTGCCAGAAAGAAGGGTTTATATTTGTTTGGGGGGTTTTTTGTTTGTTTGTTTTTGAGACAGAGTCTCAAGCTGTCTCCCTCAGTAGAGTGCTATGGTGTCACAGCTCACAGCAACCTCAAACTCTTGGGCTTAAGCGATTCTCTTCAACTTCCCTAGTAGCTGGGATTACAGGTGCCCGCCATAACACCTAGCTATTTCTTTTCTTTTTTCCTTTTCTTTCTTTCTTCTTTCTTCTTCTTCTTTTTTTTTTTTTTTTTTTTTTTTGTAGTTTTATCCTTTTTTTTTGGCCGGGGCTGGGTTTGAACCTGCCATCTCCAGTATATGGGGCTGGCGCCCTATTCATATGAGCCACAGGCGCCACCCATGCCTGACTATTTTTTTATTGCAGTTGTCATTGTTGTTTAGCTGGCCCAGGCAGGATTCAAACCTGCCAACCTCAGTGTATGTGACCAGCACCCTACCCACTGAGCTACAGTGCCACCTGTATTTGTTTTTGTTTTTAAGAGACTGTCTTACTCTGCCCCACCACCACCACCACTGCAGTGCCATGGCACCATCATACTCAAAGCAACCTCAAACTCCTGGGCTCTAACGATCCTCTTGCCTCAGCATCCCCAATAGCTAGGACTACAGCCAGGCTAAATTTTTTTTTTTTTTTTTTT